GATGCATACTGTTTGAATAATAGTTCCATCCCCATGAGGTTAGTGAGGCATTATATTGATTTGACACTTTTTTTTAAGAGCTGCTTCTCGGAAGTATCTCTATTACGCATATATTTCAATGCGAAAACACGAAGCTCATTCCATCTTAGAGATTATGTTTTATGAGCACACCAATATTCTACTTTCTATCACTTTGTTTGCTTTAAACCATGTAAAGAATACCAAGATCTCCTTTTTATATTTCGTCATTCATTTCACATTCTTTTCAAAAAGTTGGTTAACCTCCGCGTTTAAACCCATTTCTACAACCACTTATTACAGCCTGATATTGTTGAGAACAATAACCTGATTTAACATTATTGACTTGCATGAGTTGATGCAAATTCTTTCTGAATTAATAGTTAGAACTAATGAGTTAAACTATATGATAAACAGTCTTAAATAATCTACAAATTATTTACCAGTGGCTTTGCTCCCTTTAACCCATTCCTAAAAGGTGGAGCTCAGGTTATACGGTGTAATCACTGACAACCGTCTGATAATGGTCAAGTATGACATGACGTCATTGACTGATTTGTATGCTCTCTCAATTACTAGTTATAAACGAAACTAAAGAATTAAACTAGTTAATAAAATAAACAGTCTTAAGGAAACTTGCTAGTGAAATATCATACATGCGTTTCGATTAAAACGTTAACTAACTGAAATTCGTCATCTGAAAGACCATTTGTGACACGCCTCATAGTTTACTTTATTACACACACACAATTCTGCTGAAGTAGCATGATACAGTATGAACCAGTGTTCTTAAATTACTTGTTTTACCTGCTTTTTTTTCGAAAGTGAGATTATTTGTTTTTAATTTACTTCACATTATTTGCAAATCACCAATTTCTTAATAGTTGTATTCAAACAAACTTATTCAAAGAATTACTGTATACATATTAATAGTCTGCATTAAAGTAACGGACAACACACGACTTCATACAGAAATAAAGCTCTCCGATGACCCTATTGCAACTTTTATCTGTTTAAATAATTTCCCAATAACAAAAGTTTTATTTATGAAAACTAGAAAGAAAAAAATAAGCTAACATTTTCAAGGCCGTGTTCCTCAGTGCATCTATAATTCTAAATGTTTTTTCTTTCGTGTGTTTTACTTTTAAAGTGTATGTTTTTCACCGTATAGAAAAAGAAAACAAAAACTGATAATGTGTTATTCTATACCGTTAGTTTCCCGGTAGGACTGCGGTAGGTTTACAAAGCCTGGGGTTCAATTCTCCGCGGTGAACACAGTAGATAGCCCAGTGTGACTTTGCTCTAAAACAAACAAATAAAAGATAAAGGTATAACGTTTTTTTACTTTACGTTATTGAGCTATTATTTTTTACGCCGTGTCTTCTGTTGCACGTCAACGTTTCTTGTGCTCGTAACAATATAGGTCTGATTGTGGGATTATTATTCAACATAAGACTGATTGGAAAATTACTATTGAACATAAGACTGATTGGAAAATTACTATTGAACATAAGACTAATAGTAATTTTCCAATCAGTCTTATGTTCAATAGTAATTTTCCAATCAGTCTTATGTTGAATAGTAATTTTCCAATCAGTCTTATGTTCAATAGTAATTTTCCAATCAGTCTTATGTTCAATAGTAATTTTCCAATCCAACATAAGACTGATTGGAAAATTACTATTGAACATAAGACTGATTGGAAAATTACTATTGAACATAAGACTGATTTTAAGATTACTATAAAAACGTAATCTTTGCATTAACAAGATTCCTGTCGAATCAGACATATGTCAATATGATACAACAAAACTGATAGGAGAACTTATAGTTTTATGTTGAAGGCTTTGCTGTAATGTATGAACAAAGGAGAATCGTTACAATTGTATATTAGGAACATGAAAAGGTTATTACGTATAACGCTTAAGATGTTGAGGCGTGATCTGATACTTGTTATGTTGTTTGTTTAAAACTATGTTATCCACATTCAGTTTCAACTGTCCATGTTTGTTAGATACAAGAGCTGTTCCTTCTTGAAATTGATTGATCACAAATAGTTGAAATTAGAACAGATCGACTATAATATACGTGTTAACATTTCCAAAATTATACACACTACAATTTTCTCACTAGAAATCGCTAATGGCAAGATAAGTTTTAAATTTCCATTTAAACGTAGATCGACTATAATATACGTGTTAACATTTCCAAAATTATACACACTACAATTTTCTCACTAGAAATCGCTAATGGCAAGATAAGTTTTAAATTTCCATTTAAACGTAGTAATATTTATAAAACAATCGTAAAATATAGACTCATCTAAGCTTCCTTTGAGTTCATAGATATAATATCTTGAACCTAGACCTATGGCAGGAGAAGAATGTTTGAAATCTTATAAGTCAACATGCTTATGACAAAGAATAAAAACAACGCAACACAAGCAACTGCAGCTATGTGGTTGATTTCACACCCACATTCGTAACTAATATTCTAAGTTCAGAAATGAATTAAACCTTGTTCATATAACCTTATTAGTAAGATTCTCACATTATGTTGAATACAACTCCCTTTAAAAACGCTCAGAGCGGAGTTATTAGATATGTAGAGGTTTACAAAATATAAATATTTCTACCAACAAAATCATTTGGGAAAATCACTGGGATGTAAGCACGTTTGCTACGGTTAGCCAATGGCAGGTCGGAGGTGTTGCGTTTATTATCCCTCATTGTGCAATACAATTTTATTCGTTTTGTTTTCTTTCGTGTTTTTTTTTCTCAGGAAGCGCACAGAATAAATACATTTCCAAAATGTGCAGCCAGGAACTTCTAAAAAACCTGGTAGCAAAGCCAGGTCGGTATACGTAAGTAAGTACGAGGGTTGTTAACTTAATGGACTTCTTTTTCATTTTTCACGAAAAACGTATATAGAAATATTCTTATAAAATTAATTTTTATTTTATTCAAGTTTGTAAAAAAAGTGAAAGATAGATTAGAAACGAAAATTAAAACACCAACAAAACTAAATAAGTTAATCTATGAAGTTAAAAAAAACATAACTATTGGAAGTCTTCGTCTTATTGATGCTCAATATTGAAAGAGTTTGTTTTCAAATATTTAAAGCTACACAACAAAGGTTACCTAGGCGTAGCCGTCCCTAATTTTGAGTTGATAGATTAGAGGGAAGCCAGCTAGACAGAAACATCCACCACCAAATGTTAGGTTACTCTTGTCTAAACGAATACTGGGATTTGACAGTCAAGCTTATAACGCACTTGCTGCCTAAAATGTTAAACACAATTTGTTTTTTGTTTTCTTCAAATCATATAGTGAATCATGAAATACTCAATTTGCATAAAAAGGAACGAAAGAGGCGGGTAATTGTTATTATTGTGTGACAGTAATTTTGTTTTGTTAGAATTAGATATTATATATCCCAATTATCGTTTAATTGTTTTGAGCAGAGAACATTTGTATGGAAGAAAATGAGGAATGAGCTCGTGCAATTAAATAACTAATTCACAAACTGAACTTATGCATATTCTTAATAAAAAATATCTCTAGGATGCTAAACCCGAAAACCTATTAATTAGATATCATCTAATTTGTTTTAATTGCAATATTCTTAAAAATTTTCAAGAATATTAACGCTTATGTACTACATTTGTTAGGGGGATTATCGACATAGTATTAAAAATGTGGTATTCTCGCTGTACGTAATATTACCACACACACACAAAAACTCCAATAATCCAAGATTCAAAAACTTTGCCAAGTAACTGAACTTTTCTTGAAGTTGAATCTGTGAAACAAGAGAAATAAAGTTAATTAATAACAAGTCGATTTTTTAATTAAAGAAACTAGAAAAGTCAAACATGAAACCATAATAATGGCTGGAGACGGCTTAAATGGGTAATGAAGAAAAACTTTAATATAAGTTTAACATGACAGCAAATGTACAACGTTTCGACAAGGTTTTGTCATCATCTCGTGGGTGTTCCTCGTCATCGAATATGAAACCATAAGGTTGTGTAAAATTCTGTTTGTTGTAGCTTAATATATATAAATTAAGTTGATATTCTAAGTAACTAGTGGTCCAAAATAAATATATTATTTTAAAGCTAGGTGTTCAGATATTATTTAAAACTAAAGATTATAGTTTTACTACCAGTTTTTTTTCAATAGCTTTACTAATTAAATATCTGAATTGTAGTTAAACCTTTCACATTTTTGTTTGTTTGATGGGTTTATCTCTTGAATACGCTAGTGCATTGATACGTAGAGGCAATTCCGCAACATACTGCACTTTAAGTAACCAATGGTGAGAAAAACAGTTATAAGTAGTTTTCGGTTACAGGTGGAAATTTTCACAAGTTTTTGTTGCACCTATGAAGCGGTAAAGTATTAAAAACATTTTGTTTTAATTTTCAAATCTTAAAAGTAAGTAAGTAGACCTAAAATGCCACAATAGAGAGATGAAATTATTTATTCATTATTTACTTGAAGGAAAATCACTAGAAGTTAAAAAGTATACACTAAATTACGCAGTGGTTAAAGTAAGACTGTAACAGCATAGGAACTTTCAGTGTATGAGGCTATAATTCGTAAGGTGGCATTTCTTTTTCAAAAGTATGCTTTGGTTTAAATAAAAATACAAAGTATTCCAGAATGTTGAAGTCGTCTTTCTGATTTCATCAGGTAAGATCCAAATTGATTATTTAACGATAATATGTTAAATTCCATTTAGAATTGATTAAGGGTTATATATTCATGCCTTTCGTTTCGCCCTCCCGGAAATAAAATAAATTTTTTATCTTAAAATGTAACTTAAGAATTTTTCTAAAACCAAATTACAGCAATGTAATCCCCTAGAATGTCCGTTTTTTATCTCACCCCACCTCCCCTCACAGATCAAAAAACAAACAAATAAACCCGGACAATATATGGCGCACTTTAATACCATGTATAAAACACATTAAGAATTGCGTTCGTTGTTATCCTATTACAAGAGCGACAATAGCGGTTCTTGTTCGACACACTTCCGAAGCTTTCTTATGTTGCTCGGAGATGAATATCGAACGCCCAGTTTCCACATTACTATTGGTGCAATGAAGAGCTAAGCCTGGCGTCTGAAGGCAGCGACAGGAAGCCCAGCGACATTAAAACTGACAGGCTGTAGAAGTATATGTCATTATCTCCTCTGTGGTCTTTGTAAAAGATTCCAAGGTCTCCATCACTACTAATTACTTATACACCTGATAATTTTTTCTTCATTCGAAACTGTCCGAAGCCCTCTATTCCGTAGTGAGAGTGACAGGTAATATCCAAATTAAGTCAACACCTCCTGCAAGCTAAGTCTATTTACCTCAGACGGTTAATCATCCAAACCGTGCTCCAGAGATTCTGGTAGTAGCTTAGGAATTAGATGGATTGAGCAGTGGCTTTTAAATCAATGAACCTTCCACAGAATGCATGTTCCGATTCCAAGCTCTGTAATAATTAAAACAAAAGAGAATTAAAAGATCTGCAGGTATTAATGTGCACAACAAAGAAATACAGGAATGAAATGTTTAATCTTAATTCGTATGTTGCGAAAGAATAATTCATGAAATATGATAACTACGTTCAGATATTATTTGTTGCTTTTTACATAATAATTATGAAAATAACATAACAGGAATAATGGTTCATAAGTTAACTTCAGATTTTGCCAGGTTCTTTCTTTATCTCTTTCGTTATCAAATACTAGTTTAGCATGTTTATATTGTTTATAAATAAACATCAAAACAGATGGTTGAAATAAAACAAATTTCACTCAGTTAGGGTAACTATCGCTTAGTAAGAAAATTCCGCAAAGAATTAGCCAACGGGAAAAGGGCGTTGAGACTTAGGTTGGTTCCTCGCTTACAGTTACCAGCTGCTGCTCGTGCTCATAGGGGGCGATACGGATAGTGATTAGGCTTTAATTTTTCATATAAAAATATGCATACCCTATTTTACGCTATTTCGTTGTCATTTATTAGTTGCAACGACAGGTGTTGGAGTAGTGGTCCTCCTCTGTACCACGCCCCGAGCTACGATGATGGAGCTTGTTCATTACTTTGACAGGTAGCATCATTTATCTTCTTTCACAAGAGTCAACGTCTTTCAAGCCTCCATAAAGCACTATAGACTGTACGCCATTGTTACTTTTCAATCTTGATTACAGGGAGTTTGCTGGAAATGTCGTTCATATGTATATGTAGAGCCAAAAATTGCTAATTTAAATATATGAGAGACTGAAGACCGAGAGTCTGTATTCTTGGATATTTCTTAAAGTTTTGAAGATCTATGTTTAAGCGCACATTAACATTCTTCAGACTGACTTCTTTTCGAATTTTCTCGTTGTATTCATCATCCACAATGTTTCAAATTTAGTAATGCCATTTCAGATTTTAGGTTTTCTTAGCAATGATTTGTGAGATAAACCATAGATATTTCTAAAAAACGATAGATAGCGTTAAAAGAGAGTTTTTATTCATATCAAAATTGGTCGGACGTGGCCTAGTAGTTAGCAGGGGCAAGGTTCGCGTCCAGTTGCCGCTAAACAGTGCCTTATATACATTTAGATGCGATCGTAACATTACAAGTAGACCCAGCATGGCCAGGTGGTTAGGGCGTTCGACTCCCAATCTGCAGGTCACACCAAATATGCTCGCCCTTTCAGCCGTGGGGGCGTTATAAAGTGAC